ATTTAATTTTTTTTTTCTTTCTGGCATCTTCATGTTGGAATGAAAAATAAAAACTTTGTAATGAAAATGCACTGGTCTTTTTGACGATAAGAGGGGCAATAAATTAAATTACCTTCCTTATCAGATCTGATAACCAGAGATCAAAAAGTTTATTTTTTAATATATATATATATATATATATTTGGTTAGATTGATGAACCAAATATGTTAGCTCTATCTTTGATATTGAGCGCTCTCTAATAAGTACCAGATATATAATATATAAATAATTATATATTTATTTATGTACACACACTTTTCACACACACACACACACATATATATATATATATATATATATATATATATATATATATATGTATATATATATATATGTATGAAAAATTTTTTCAAAGTTAACTTGTAGAAAAAGACAATATTTATAAATGTAACAGACAATAGGAAAACTGTAGTATTAGCCGACACGTTTTGTCCAATGTGGGCTTTTTCAAGGCAAAAACAAAATGAATTTATTAAAACAAGGTAAGTAATACCAAAAGAAAATGTCCTTAGTAACTAGAAGAATTTAGAAAATGCTATTATATTCATATTGTCAACTGAAAATTATGTCAAGTACTGTCACATTGGATGAAACGTGTTGGCTAATATTACAGTTTTCCTATTGTCTTTTACATTTATAAATATATATGTATATATGAGATCCATTGGTGTCTGTTGGATTTTGATTCTGAACACTCTATTTTTGTTTCTCTGTTAGATCTAATCCGAATGAGCTGATTTGAAATCCAACAGATAACAATAGCTCTAATATATAAAATAAAAATAACAAAAAAAAACAGACTCCCTGGTTGTGGAATCTGATAAGGTAATTTAATTTCTTGCTCCTCTTATCCTCAGAAATCATAATGGATTTTTCTTGCACACAGTTTTGCCTTTCATTTCGACCTGAAGACACTGAAACTAACACGTGTCAGCAAAATGCATCGTCACTTAAAACAGATTTTCCACTTTCTCTCATCATCTTTACTTTTGTTTCAGATACTATTCTGCATCTCACACACACACATATATATATATATATATATATATATATATATATATATAATAATTATTTACATATTATATCTTGTGGTACTTATTAGAAAGCGCTCATGAAGGGGATTGCTAAAGTGTGAAACCCAGGGTCACAAACTCACATCTATCCAACCAAATATATATATATATATATATAGATAGTGTATTTAGGCAGCAATCCTTCATTTATACATATTTCATTAAAGACTCCAGACAAGGTACCGCCATTAAGCTTTTTATATAATTTTTCTTGTGATTGAACAAGTGTTTTCTTTTTTGGACACAGTGTGTACAAACAGTCTGACTGTTCTGTAATTCTGAGTGTTTGCAGCTATACTTTTAGCCATTATTAAGGATGATTTTATTTTTAATTTTCAATGGGTGTATGGATTCTGTGTATGTATCTAGGGTTATAGGGATGTTTTATTTTTTCAACACTGTCACCACATTATGGCTGTGTTCATAGTTAATATTAGTGTTGTTTTTTCCTTTTTTATTATTAGGGCTTCCATCATTTTTAATCTATTTTTACATGTGGATAAGGTTATTATGCTTGTATTTTCTACTAGTATGTTTTGGATGGAGTCAGGTAGGTTTGTGTGTGTGTTTAAATTGGTTCTGATAGATCTGTAGATGGATAGGTGTAACATAAGTCATCTGGATAGGCATGTAATAGTGTGACCTATGTAAGTGAGTTGTTTGATCAGGAACACAGTTCCTTAAGGGATATAATGAAGTTGTAAGTAATGTTCATTCATTGTAGTTTTGATTTTGAAGATGTGGTGTTATATTCTTGTTCAAACACAAGAAAAATTAAATAAAAGGCTTAATCACAGTAACTTGTCTGCCATCTTTAATGAAACATTTTTGTTAAATTCAATTGAAAAGTTCTGTTTGTTTAATTTTTATATTGTATTTTCCAGTTTTCAAATAAGTTGTTGCACAACCAAATCAAAATTGTTGATAAACTGTTAACGTGAATTTTTTTGTTTGGGTATTTTTGGCTAGCTCATTCATCAGATGTATCAAATATTTTATGCATATATTAAATATTTTATATCCTATACACACTTTAAAATATTTCTGTTGAAGGATATTAAAATTGATATAATAATAATACAATGAAAACATTCATTTGTTGTTGCTATAAATGTTATTTTTAATCATCACATGCATTTGAGTTGACATCCCTCTTTTTATTTCAATTTCTGAAATTAATAACATCCTGACTAGTTCAAGAAATCCTACTAAAAAAAAAAAGACACCGATTCTCAGAGAACTTAAAAGGATTACTTGGTTACTTATATTAGTGCATCATTTTACTTACAATTATTGCCTCATGACACAAACAATAGTCAGTGCATTGTTTGAATACAAATTAGCCACAACTGATCAACAGTTCCTTTTTATTCTGTCACTTATATTATTGCTAAGACTCTTTTTTAACATTTATATAAGTAGCAAAGTAATTGTTCTAAGTAATGGGTTGATGTGATAGAATATCATGCCATCCCCATGAGTGGTGGCACTATAGGTCGTAACCACCTATAAGTATCCATTAGGACAGTGGACAGCAGAGTCAAGCTGAATCTACGAAACTAGCGGCCTTCTGATAACAGAATGCACACAACTGTACTGACTTGCGACGACCGTGCACGTAACTATTAGTTCCTTGCTTGTACTGGTTTCTACAATATACCTGTTACTATTTATCCACGGTGTTTGTCCATTCCATATTCCTAGCACAGAATATAACATGGGTTAATCAAAATAAGTCCTGCATAATTTGTTGTGATCCAAAAATACCAAATGTGTTGCATTTAATCACTATAATTGTACTTAGAATCATTGTCACTGCATTATTTTAAAATAATTAGCTTTAAATGATGAACAATACCATTTTATAATAATCTGTCACTTATGGCCAATTAAATGTGCTTTACATTTATATAAGTAGAAAAGTGATCATTCTAAGTAATGCAGTTAATCAAAATAAGTGCTGTGTAAAGTTATAGTACTACTATACTAATATACAATTTTTTAAATTTTGTGTTGTGATATTTAAAAAAAAAAATGAACTAAGTTAAATACTTCTTCATTATTTTTTTTTCACACAACTTCATTGAATTATGATACAGAAAAAAAATTATTTTATAAAAAGTAAAAAATCATGACCCTTATATATACAGGTTGGTAATAAAGTCACTATACAGTTACTTTTAATAAAAGTAAAGCACTGAAGCAAGTTGCTTGCAGTTCGATTAGTATCGGTAATTAATTTACTGTTTTTTACCATAGCATTTTATTATTATTAACCAAAATTAACCACAACCGTTTTAATATAAAATTCTGGACTGTTGATTTGTCTTAATTGATATTGTAAATAACTGTATAGTGACTTTATTGCCACTCTGTGTGTGTGTGTGTGTGTGTGTGTGTGTGTGTGTATATATATACACACACACACACACTATGGATAAATTGTCGCCTAAATTATGTAAAAATGGAAATAGCACTGACATTTCATTTTAACAGATATATTTATCAAAATTACCCCAAAATATCTTGAAATACTGAAGGGTAAATTTATTAAATAAAATCACAATTGGCTTCAACCACAGTCTCCAGATCACTTTTGAATCTCCTGCAAATCTTCTGGACGGTATTTTTAGTCCTCACTCAAGCTCTGATGAGAAAAGAATGGAAACTGGTTAAGTTTTTGTTTATTTTATTTTGATAAGCTCTTCAGGGTAACTATAAGAATTATTTTTTGTCTGTTTTTATTTGAATACTAGCAGTAGAGCCCAGCATTGCCCGGGGATGTAACAGTAAGAGATAGATCAAGTATCAACCATCATAAAGACTGAAAAATAAAATTGACAAAGATTATTGTTTAAGGTTGACGGACACGCATGTCTTAATTTTTTTTTTTTTTGTTTTTTTACGAATTGATCAAACTCAAACAAAAACATTGTTTTCAATTGTTATGAGTCTATTGATTGGATAGAGTTTTATTATAAACAATTGTCTTGTAAATGGAATTTTTAAAGCATTCTGAATGTAAAAATAAAGAAAAAAGTGTGCAAGACAATAAGAAATACTACCTGCCAAAGAAAAGTGAAGTTTTGTTGAAATCGGTTGAAAAATGTAGGAAATCCGATCCCATATATAAACGAACACCACACACACACACACAAAACAACTGGGTTTTATAATAAGTATAACTCGATATGAGTTGTCCCCCTTTCATTCTGGCAACAGAATTGTGTTTTATTGTGTTTTCAAATTGATTTCATGCAAAAACAATTGTTTTTCCAATTTGGGGCACTGTCAGATCCACCGCAAGGTAATTTTACATCGTCCTGGGAATTTTTGTTGAAATCAGTTGAAAAATGTAGGAAATCTGATCCAATATATAAACGTACAGACACAGACACACATTCACACACACACAATCTGCGTTTCATAATAAGTAAGATATTTGCTTTTTTTATAACAGTTATTGAATTTTGTAGTCATGTTAAATATTTAATTACTTTACTCCCAAATTTTCTGGTAACTGTTGAATTAAATTCCTGGAACATGACAGTCCGTGAAGGTCTATTTTAATTTTTTTTTTTTTTTTTTTTAAGATTCCCCTGCTTGCTTTTTGTCTCTTGCTACTGGTGCCATTTGAACTAATTCCCAGAAATGCATCCATTAAGACTATTTCTTATATTTGCATGTTTTGCTTTCTGCTATTCTCTATGAGCTTTTTAACCCATTTATTCTCTCCAACAAACAGTCTGTACTCTTCCAACTCATGATGCTTAATTTACAGTTTTAGACTAGATCACAGCGATCACCAGCACCCAAACATTGATTCTGTACTAAGTAAAGCCTGCCTTTTGAAACCTGTCCACTGATCATTGTTTTGGTATTTACAGGAGTTTCTGTCCCAAAACTGAAGAGATCACCACGTGGACGTAATCGCTATTTGACCATATCAAGCAGTGAACCTATTAAGTTGGAACATGCTCTTCAAAAACAGTCTTCAATCAATTCTTCTGCAGGTGATCTCATACCTGGGGCCACATTTGTAAGTCAGCTTCCACATATATATTTTTTTTTTTTTTTTTTTTTTTTTTTGGGAGATGCTCTGACCTTTCCTCTTCCTCTTTTGAAACAAAATTTGGACAGAGTTCTTACTAATATATTTGTTGTAGACTTTATTTTTGGTTCCAACAACATTTTTTTTTTTTTTCATTCACTTTCATATTTTCAACATTTTATTTAAAGGCTTTTAATCTTTTTTTGCCTGCTTATAAAATATTTTATCTTTTAAATGGTTGATTGGAACATTTTTTTTTTTTTTTTTTTTTTTTTTAGTGTTCCCAGTTTTAATCATTTTTTTCTTTTCTTTATATTTTTGATTTTTATATCTGATTTACATTTTTTTTTTTTTTTCATTTGTTTCTCTCTGCTTTTTTGTTTGTTTTTTTTTCTGCTTTTTTGTTTGTTTGTTTGCTTTTCTGCTTTTTGTTTGTTTTTTTTTTTTTGTTTGTTTTTTGTTTTTTTGCTTTTTTGTTTGTTTTTTTCATTTTTTTTTTAAATTTTCTCTGCCTTTTCATTTCTTTATTAAATTTTTCTATTTTTCTTCTATTGGACTTTTAAGACAGGAGTAAATAGGTGAGCCATTATCATAAATACTGACCCTACAAATTAATCTGAGTTAGGTTATAACTAGATAATAAAGAAAGCAAATATTTTTCTGATTTCCAGAAAAAAGGAAAGTAATTGATAGAAAAAGTAGTTTTTTTTTCTTTCTCTTCATGCAATGTCAAGAATTGTGTGAAATGCTGCTTTACTTATCAGATGAACTGATCAATTCATTTATTCAAGATGCGTGAAATACTGCTTGACTTGTCAAATAAACTGATCAATTAGTCTGTTCAAGTACCCTGAATTTTTGTGTAGTACTTTGTTTGAGCATAAGTCATTCACCTGATATATTTTGTTTTGTTTTTCATTGTAAAAATATTTTCTTTTAAAATTTAGTTTACTGATATCCAAATATTTTCTTCCACAGATAAATAACATGCCTGATATTATCAGTTCAACAATAGACAAATTTGATGAGGAAACAATTGACAGAGAGGTACAGATATGAGTTGTCTTTTCTTTTATTCTTGTAGCCCCGGGTATGACTAACTACATCCTGCAGCAAAGCCTGTGATTGGGAAATTAGAAGTTTTGGGTGAGCATGGAACCACCTTTTAATGGCTGTTTTTCCAGATTCACCTTGACCTCGGGTGGTAAAACCTTTTAGGGTCCCAGCTATGGGTGAATAGTGAACCCCCAAACAAAATACTATGAAAGTATAAAAATACATTTTTGTACTAAAAATACCAGCAATACATTTTTATGTTAAAAAAAAAAAAAAAAAATTGACCAACAATACATACTTATAGTAAAATAAACAATACTACATGTTATAGTAAAATGGCCGACAATGCATTTTATAGTAAAATGATGCACAATGTTTTATCTGTAGTTGAAGGCATACAATAGTAAAATATTTAGTTGAAGCATACAATTGCGTTTTATTTAGTTGAAGTTTGCGTTCAAAATATATTTAGAAGGCATACAATTGCGTTCAAAATATATTTAGTTGAAGGCATACAATTGCGTTCAAAATATGTTTAGTTGAAGGCATAAAATCAAAATATGTTTAGTTGAAGGCATAAAATTGCGTTCAAAATATATTTAGTTGAAGGCATATATTTAGTTGAAGGCTACAATTCAAAATATATTTAGTTGAAGGCATACAATTGCCAAAATATTTTAGTTGAAGGCATACAATTTCTTTCAAAATATATTTAGTTGAAGCCATAAAATAAAATATATTTAGTTGAAGCCATAAAAAAAAATATATTTTAGATAAAATTTCAAAATATTTAGATTTTGGCATTAAATAACCCATAAAGATGTTGATATGCCGCAAATAATCAGCCAACCAAAATTTATACTTGTAAAACTTGTCTGCATTTAAATGATAGCTGTTGAGTGACTTTTTTATTTGGTCTCAGTGAGAAAATGAGAGAAAGAAAGAAGGTAAGATATAAGTGTTTAACGTCTTCTGCCAGTACTTCATAAATAAGTGACTATTTAATTGGGTAGAATAGACAAGACATATGCTACTTGGTTTCAGTGAGAAAATGAATGAAAGAAAGGGAAGATAGAAGTGTTTAACGGTTGTTGCAGTGAAATGGAAAAAGTTGTCAGTTTAAAATCCTTTCATTTAGACCCATTTTTTTAAAAATAATGATCAGCATTCATATTTATCATTGTCATTGCAACATTTTATTAAAGTTGTTAATTAAAGTTATTTAATCACATTGTTAAATATTTATTTAACAATATGATAGGGGAATTTCTACAGATATTTCATTGTTGTAAAACTCGCCATGAGCTTATTCAGTTATTGACTTAAGAATTAAGATTCATCAGAAAATTGAAATAGGAAAACCGTGAAATTTTCAATAGGTTAAAACTAAAAAAAAACTTCAGGGGTGGCAAAACTTGATTAATGTAGGAGCCACATGTGATAAAGTTGATAGATTTGAGAGCTGCAAGGCATGAACAAAATTTACACATAGATTTTTGCTACATACACATGTGACCACTCATCAGTGCATCCAAATCTTTAATCCCCATGACCTCAAGTCTTCTGACATCCCTCTGTAAACCTTGCTGACTGGAAATTTCTTTAATCCCTCTGCTTCCCACCATTCCTTCTCTCAGCACGAAAAAAACAATGCCTCACTCAGATCTCGTATTAAAATTATGATTTAAATTCTTAAATATTTTTACTAGCCATCCAGTGGTGTCTCAACTCATAGCCAGTAAATAATTATAAAGCTTGAAGGGCACCTTGAGGTGATCTAATGGTTAACAAGCTTGTCTCACTAGAACAATTACGACTGAGTAGTGAGTTTGATCCTCGCCGGGTGCCCATTACTTTCGGCCTTGTGCCGCATCTAAAAAGACATCTTGAGGTGGTGTAATGTTTAACAAGCTTGTCTCACTAGAACAATTTACGACTGAGTAGTGAGTTTGATCCGCACTGGGTGCCCATTACTTTCGGCCTTGTACTACATCTAAGCTACACTTGGAAAATCACTATAAAGCTTGGAATTTTTCTTCTTTACCTTTCATATTAACTGTGACGAAAAAAGGAGCTCAGCCAAGATATTTCCATCAGCCACATGTTGAAGGTCAAAGAGCTGCATGTGGCTCATGAGCCACAGCTTGGCCACCCCTGTAATAATTCCTGCAATTTTATTGCAAAATACTAGCTTACTTTAATTGAATGAAAGACCCACATATGTGCTTTATATGCTGAAAATTTTTTTTTGAGTATTTTTCTTTTGAGAGGTTGGCCTTTTGTTTAATTTGGTATCTATTTCTGCTGTTGTGTTTTATTTTTCAAACCTTTGCTATTCAACTTGCTAATAATTGTACAGATTGTTATATAACTAATGTCAGACAATTTCATTGCTTGTCAACAAGAGCCACTATTGCACGTCATTAAGTAGATGCCAAGTATTGATAAGGTTACAGGAAATGGATTGCCTGAGAATTAGTCAGCCATCTCATGTCACATGCAAGTAGGTTAAAGTATTAATTGTATCAGGGTATTGATTGAAAATTAACTGTAGAGGAATTTTTATTTATAGAGTAAATAAAGATTGTTGCCAAATGATTCAGTCCTAATGACACTGGACAAAAAGCAAAAACCTTTTGTCTTCCACTTAAACAAATGATGCTGAACAAGACTAAACTGGGAACATTAATTCTGTAATTTTTTAGATGAGTAATTATTATTATATGCTTTGCTATTCATTTCATCTTGGTTGTTATAATCCAACGTTTCGACTGATTTAATAATCATCAGTATTTTTGAGATGAGGAATTATCATTATTATATACTTTGCTATTCAGACCAGCATCTTCATCTTGGTTGTTATAATCACAACATTTCGGCTTTTAATAATCTTTATCAGTATTTTTGAGATGAGGAATTATCATTATTATATACTTTGCTATTCAGACCAGCATCTTCATCTTGGTAATGTTTATCATTATTATATGCTTTGCTATTCAGACAATCTTCATTTGGTTGTTATAATCACAGCATTTTAAACTACCCGATTTAATAATCTTTATCGGTATTTTTGAATAATTATCTTTTATATGCATTCAGACCAGTCTTCATCTTTTGTTATAATCACAACATTTAGGCTCGCAATACCGATTTAATAATGATTTTTGAGATGAGAATTATCATTATTATATGCTTTGCTATTCAGACCAGCATCTTCATCTTGGTTGTTATAATCACAACATTTTGGACTGTTTTAATAATCTTTATCGGTATTTTTGAAATGAGGAATTATCATTATTATATGCTTTGCTATTCAGACCAGCATCTTCATCTTGGTTGTTATACTCACAACGTTTTGGACTCTTTTAATAATCTTTATCAGTATTTTTGAAATGTGGCATTATCATTATTATATTCTTTGCTATTCAAATCAGGTTGTAAACAAATTCAAGAAATATACAAAATATATTATTTACTAGTGTCATGGCATGTCTTTTGTTTTAGGCATACTTGAGGAAGTTTGTAAATTATTAGGTTTACAAATGCCATTTCCTCATCAGAGCCATTTCAATTTGGAGGCAAACTGCCAATCAGTGTGATTTCACATCTTCATGGACTCTCATTTTTGCATATGCCAGTCAACCTGTGCACATTTGCATTTCTCCAGTATCCACGGAGCCAACCTGTGGTTTATTCTGCAATTGTCTAAGCTTCAAATATGTGCCCCTTGAAGGTCACATACAGTTTTGAATTCAGAGTTGTCATTCTCCTGGACTGGTTACCAACCATGACTAGAGAGCCCAGTGTTTTGTCCTGTTGTTTAATCCATGTTGATAGTTGATTTGCAGGCCTGATTTAATAATTACTCTAGCAGACTTTATGTATGAAACAATTTCGTTTTAAAGACACTAGCTTTATAGAAATATCAGAAGTAAAAATAAATTGGACATTATTTTACTTAATTTATATTTCTCCATCTTTTATCTTTTAATTTTGATTATTAATTAATAAGGTTTAATGGTTCTTTGATGTCTTACAGCTGATGAAACCAGAGAAGGTCTTTATTCCCGAGCGATATATACCAGATTGTGACGAAGAGGATTTAACGGAAGAAGAGAAGGAAAAACGCAGAGCAAAAGCAGAAAAGATCAGAAAAGTCCTCACTGAACAAAGGTTTGTTGATTGTTTACATTTTTTTTTTTAGCTCTTCTGATGGTGGGATTTTTTTATATTTGTCTCATATAATCACCAAAATTAAGTAATGTTGAATCTGGTCAGTTCCTAGATGAGTAACTGCTTGTGAATACAAGATACTGTAATCTTCAATGCATGGGTGATGTTATGGATAACTGCTCAGAAAATTGAAATCAGAGAGTCTAGTTCCAATTCCAATCGGGTTTGTTTTATTCATTTATACGCAAATACTTTGTAAAGGTTTGCATCCACCTATTGCACTGCTATCTATGGATTAATTAATTGGATCAATAAATCATTATTAACCCTCCCCTCCAATACTTACAATCTAAAATTATTTTTTGGCTTTTAATAACTGGAAAAAAGTTAAGCTGTAGAAAAAAAAAAATCCATCAAAAATCAATTACATTTGAGAACATTGTCTGATTATTTACATTCTTTGGGCCATTGTCATTATCTTTATTGCCATATTCACAACATTTCAGCCATTGTAAGCTCTGGTCATCTTCAGGTGATTGGAATTTTGAACTGAACCCTTTATTTCATATACCGGAGTAGATTATTCTACTTCCATGTGCCATGTCTCTTCTGGATGTCTCAGTTTAATTCAACTCTCCAAGTTTTTTGTTTACCACTGCAGTAGCCATGCACTGAACTCACAACTCTTTGTGTCAAGTTATGGATGCAACCAATGCTTTTATCCACTGGGGTATGTGTCCTTGAGGACATCAGTGTATGAATTTTATGGACGTATAAACTTAATGTCTCAGTAAACATTTTTTTTTTTTATCAGAGCTCATATTGCAATTTTTGTTATTGCTTTTCTCTAGCACTTCATATTACTAGTTCCCATATTGTATTCATTTCTCTGCTTGGCTGGCTTAGAAGATTTCTGTGGCTTCGCATCTGTCCTTAAGTTTACAAATTTTCCACTGATGTTCTCTGTATATTATTTCAACCTCATCCCACAGAGGGTGGTGATCTCCCTTTTTCCCTCAATATGTGGTCAGCTACACCTGATTTTTCTATTTATTTACATGGCCCAGTGGATAAAGTCATTGGTTGGATCCAGTGCCTTGACCCAAAGACTTGTGAGTTCAATACCTGACTACTGCAGTGGTGAACAAAAATTTGGAGAGTTGAGTTAAAGGGAGATAACTGAGACACCGGGAAGAGGCATGGCATGTGGAACTAGAACAATCTCCTCCAGTGAATGAAACAAAGGGATCAGTTCAAAATTCCAGTCACCTAAAGAAAGTACAATGGCCAAAACATTGTGAATATGGTAATAAAAATGAAAACAACAGCCCAAACAATGTAGACAGATTTCAAGGCGACAAATTTTGGACCAGTTTTATCAGATATTTAGTATAGTTTGTAAATTTTAAAGTTTTTTTTTCTCACCAATTGCCCTAAATGGGGAAAATAGCTAATACTGTAATTTTTTTCCTACCTCTCATTATACCCCCACCTGTGAAAATACTTATTTTAAATGGGAAAAGTTTCCCAGCCGGATTCCAGCCTTGTGGCAGCACCTTCCTCATTACGTTATAAAAGGAGAGGTCAGTGTAATATCGATGACAGTGGTCATAGGGCTGACCAGAGCAATAATTTTTGTCCTCCTTGACCCAAGTATATATGTACAGGTATTGCATTCCCCAATTTAAAAGGACCTTGTGTTACGTCGTGCCTTAGTGGGGAGGTGAGGTAAATATACCTGTGGAGAATAGGATCACCACCTAACCATGCTATGTGTAACAACTGCAGTTTCTGTAACAAGAATGTTTTTATGGAGTGCAATTGCCCGCTCCATGATGAACCAATTTTGAATTCAGAGATTTCCTTCTCTTAGACTGGTTGCCAACTAATATGAAAGAGCCAAATCTACCCTGCAAATTTTTGTGCCAGTTTCAGCCATTACAAGTCTTGAATTCAGAGGCTTCCTTCTAGATGGGTTGCCAACCAAAATGGAGAGCTCATTTATTTAGTTATTTAATCTATAGTTAAAGGAAGGGAAGAGATAGATTCATAGATAGATTTGCCTATTGTTTGGTTCACAATCTCCTCCAGATTTTTGATCAGGAGTAGAAGTTCATCCCTTGTTCCCTGTTAAGGATTGGGTTTCCAGTTCCTTCTCAAATCTTCCCATTCACTTTTATTCTCAGTAGCCCCTTGCGTCTAATTGGCGGCACTAGCCCCCTGCGTCTAATTGGCGGCACTAGCCCCCTGCGTCTAATTGGCGGCACTAGCCCCCTGTGTCTAATTGGCGGCACTAGCCCCCTGCGTCTAATTGGCGGCATTAGCCCCTTACGTATTAGTGGCATTATCACCTTGCTTGGGGTGAACTGAATAAAAAACCCCAAAAAACTCTTGTGTTTTATTTAACAAAGAACATGTCAGTACACATGACAGCAGTCATTGTAGCCTTCCATTAGAGAAAATGAAATCCAGCAACTTCTCACAAGAATATGGTAAAGTTGGTACAATCTTCTCACTCATGATGCTTGCTCTTCTGTACTGAATAATTGTTACAATACCAAAGGGAGCGTAATAATAAAGTTGATTTTATTTCTTTTAAAACAAACACGAAGATGTAAATTTAACTTGGTTCTTCAATTGTAGTGTTCACTCCTGGACCAAGCAAATCCCAGCAGGTAATCTTGAAAAAATCCATGACCACATCGCCAAAGAAAAAATATTACGAGAACATTTATTAACAATTACTCAAGAACTTGCCAAGGAAGTGACTAAGAAGAGTAAAGAGGCGGCCGGTAAGTAAATCTGGCAATCATTTTCAAACGGGACTTCTTGTACATCATTTCTGTCTGAATTTCTGGGATGAGGAACTATCATTATTTACGTTCAGACTAATATCCTCATCTTTCTTGTTATTATCACCTGATTGCCTTCTGTCTGAATTTCTTGGATGAGATGCTATCATTATTTAAACTATTTACATTCACATTATTGTCTATATTTTTGTTGTTGTTATCACAATTCAGCCATTGTGCCCTTCGGTTAAATTACAGTGAATTTTGAACTGACCCTCTTTATTTAATCTACAGAGATAGACTTTTCTTATTCCAATAGCAATGTTTAAGGATATCTCATCTAGTTCTTATTTTTATTACTGCTCAGTTATTGCTCACCTATTTTCACTGAGTCCAACTACACACTGCCTGGGTGAGTGATTGAACTCACAATTACCATTTCACCAAATTCACAAATCAATGCTTTTAACCACTAGGCTATAGTCTGAATGTAAATAGTGTAAATATGTCATTTGTTTAAGATTTTATCTTTCTTTTTATTATTAGTTTAACTTGATTCATTATAAACAATTTCTGTCAATTCGACTTCATAGTCTTTTCTGTTTTGCTTTTTGTTTTATAATGAAGATATTTTTTATTATTATTTTAATTATATATTTATTTTTATTTACTTTTAATTTATTTACTTTTACTTTTTTATTTACTTTTAATTTATTTACTTTTTTATTTACTTTTACTTTTTTATTTACTTTTACTTTTTATTTACTTTTACTTTTTTATTTACTTTTACTTTTTTATTTTATTTTTTATTTACTTTTACTTTGCTTATGAACCTATTATTATTTTCATCATAAACTGAGAATATTCTCTTTTTAATCTATTATTTTTCACCTTAATAACTTACTGGTGATTTCTGTGTGTGTTTAACAAAATTAAATGTTTCATTTTCTCATATTTATTTTTAGCATCAACATTTTTTTTATTGATTGTGAAGATTTTATGCAGTTATTAAATATAGAAAAAGAGGTCATTATTAAAATTTATCATCCCATAGTGAATCTTTCCTCAATTATGAAATATATTGTAGTCTTTTTTCTTGGAAAACCAAATTGTAAATATGTCATTGTATTCAATCTGAGTTTGTTATTCAATATACCATTTTATATCTTCACTTATGGAATAAATTTTATTCTTTCTCAGGTCCCAGACTCCCAATGAAATTCTTTTTTTTAACTAGACTGAAAATCATACTGATAAAACCTGATTTTGATTTTTAAACAGAAGTAATTCCTTACACTGCTAAAAAAAAAATGTTGGTATTTATCTGAAACAGTGGTCCCAATGAGAATATACAGATGCTGATGTCAAAAATAAGTGTTTTCATAACAGATTTAGGCACTACTTAACTGGACCATTGAGAATAGAAAAAATTGTGTGAATTCTTAAAGATTTATCTGTACTGTTTTTATTTACAATTATCAATCTTGAAACTCTACTTATGTCATTGATAACTATGTACTATTGTGAATTGAGAACAAGTAGTAGACACTTATCAATGATGCAAACACTGTTTCAAACGTAGCATTCATTAATAACTCTTTCACTCGAGACTGATTTCACACTGTATTTATATTATGAATATTAGAAGAATGTTGAATTTTTATAATTTTAGAAGATGTCAAATGCAGTGGTCCCCAACCATTTTTTGGCCAGGCCCCACCTAAGTATTTCTAAAATCCTGATGTTCCCTCTGTGATATATAATTCTTATTATTCAAAAAGTGAATTCCTATTCATGTGGAGGAATCCTCAAATGACAATTAATTTGGTCTGAACAACCTTCCAAAGAACATGGCATCCATGAAAGAAAAGAATGAAAGGGTAGTTTAATTTAATTATGGAAACCATTTGATGGTAATGCACTACACACACACACACACACTCACACTCTTTCTCTCTGGCATGTGCTGATAGCATAGGAGTAAGGACTGATGTCAAATTGGTTAAGTTTCAATACCGGCTTGGAGCAATCGGATACCACACTGATGAACTGTGATACAGCGAAACAGTCTGTCTGTGGATTTTATATATATATAATATATATAATATATATATATATATATATATATATATATATATATATATATATATACTTTTATTAAATGGATATATAATTCCTCTTATCAAGGGTACTATGTTTTATTGTACCTTTGTATACTCTTACAAGTTTCCTTTAAGAATTTGAGACTACATATATGCAATTGTATTATTATTTAATTTTAGAATTTAACAGTATTTATAAAAATAGTTATATACAGTGCATATGGAATTACACACATCCATACATACAAATATTTTTATGTATGCATATTGTTCATGCACCATATGTATTGACTCACTATAAAAAAAATTCACTCTTAATAGCACATTCTCAAATTGCTCCCCCAACATTGTTATTTAGAACTACAAAGAACAGGAAGTTGTAGAGACCCATGATCATCTACATCCTGAAGTGACAATGCACATCGATGAGGAAACTGGACCAATGTCTACTTCATCACTTGAATATAAACACAACCTATCTCTACCTACAGATTTGTGATTTTTGTCCTTTAAGACTTGTATATGACATTAAATGATTCAACAGACATTATCTCATTAAATTAATTCATCTAACCTGTCTGGGATAAGAATAAACCCCAAAAACTTAGAACTGTTTTCTTGTTAAAAAAAGTTCATCATTAGTCCCCTGACTAGGTATGGTCTAAGGGTCGCTGAGCACCTGACCACTTCCTTCCACATATTTGGATTGAAAGCAGCAGAGGCATTAATTCACATGTTGCATGTCTTGGGTGAGTAGACCTGACTGAGCCCATCTCTCTTCATGTCAAAAGAAAGCCAATATTTTCCACTTGAAGGCTTGCTTTAGTCACAGTTGTTTATTCAATTGGCAGAGAATTCTCCACCCTTGCTGTTGACGTCAGTCTAAGAAGCTCTCCACCAATCAATACTGTATCTTTATTGCACTAGCTGTATAAATTACTATAGAACCCAGTCATCTCTGTCATATTAGTTTATTGTCACACTGACCCAAGGGAGAGAACTTTTGTTTGTAATTGGGAACTGACAAGTGCAGTGAGAATAAAAGGTTCTTCTGGTTCCCAACAAATTGTGTTGCTTGTTTTAAATGTCTATCAGTAATCTGTCATTTATCCACATCGATTCAGCCATCAAAATGAACCCTACCCCATTGTTCAACTTTCCTATAGTTGGTCGGAACTTCATTGACAATCCCTTTCCACACTGTTTGGTCCTGCATTGTGGTTCTCAGGTCCCCAATGTTCAACCCTCGGTCTTGAGGTCAGTCTGGGGAAAGTCAGTTTTTGTGAGAAGACACTTCCAGAAGGATGCCATAGGAGTAAGGATGAGATGATTTCCCTGTCTGCTCAGTGGCAGTGGCCAGCAAACAGTAATTATTTTTGTTTGAGCTTAAGAGAAATTGGTCTCAGTTTTCTGTAAATTGTGTTAAGCATTGCAACTGATGTTCTGGATTTTTCTAATTAGATTTGCATATGTTCCATCCAGTCAACTTTCAAGACAAGCAGATAATGCCTAAGTTTTGGATCCATAGAGTAAGATTAGTTCAATCAATGTTCGAAATTTTTAGACTTTTAAAGAGGATGGAAGGTTCGAGTGCCAAATCTTGTGAAGTTTGTTACATGCATCCCATGCAAGAGCTTTGCTGAGGTTGAAGTCTTTTTGAGAATCTATTATATAAGATCCAAGATATTTGAAATCCTCAACTCTTTTGATGCAGGTATTATTGATTGACTTCAAATCAGAGGGTTCCAGGGAGGTTGTAATATATTCTGTCTTATGTTGCAATATCAGCCACTCACCCACATCCATTCAGTCATCAAAATGAAATCTACCCTATTGTGGTAGATGGCTGTTAACTTTACAAGAATTTTCATCCAACCAAGCCATTATTCGTTACCAGAAAAATCTAACAGCGGGGGGACCAGTTTATTTATTTATTTTTTTTTAATCATTTCACACCCCCCAGTCAGTCAGTCAATTATGTGCCATTCATGATAGATGTTTAGTTGATCATGTATCTTTTGATACATGACTGATGAGGCAGATTTTTTTTTCCCGCGGTAGGTTGCCATTTCTTTCTGCAGTAGACCAATTGCCATCCGAGGCTATAGAACCTGGTCTTTCCTGCTATTTACCCGTAGCTGGTGGGAGAAGAGGATTCATACCTTTCCCAAGGGTATTAGCATATAAGTGAATGCAATGGATTCGACTGGAATTCAAACTCGACTCTCCAATTCCTCAATCTGAGCCGCTATAGGTTGCTGAGTGTTAGAGAATGAGAAAAATATACTATTAAGGAGAGAGGACAATGGAAGAACAAGAATTAAGAAAACGGACGATAACCATTGACATTGCATTTAAATTTTTCAAGATCAAAGTTGATTGGAAAGCAAGAAGCCACAAGCAAGAAGTGCGATAGAAGAAACTGTTAGTCTAGAACTAACCTTTTTAACTGTAAAAAGATGAGACCTTGGCATCAAACTAGAATTGGGCTTAAATTCATAAAGTTCATTAGAACAATTACCATAAAACGTATTTATAGAAAAGGCACTGGGAAGCTATGTTAAGGTGGTGGGTAAGTGACTGAAACCAAGTTGCCAGGTCAGGACAAATAACATTGCAAATTCTTCTTTGGATTTTATCAAAGAATCTCCAAATATATAGGGGCACCAGACCATATGTGACAGCACTATTCAAATTGTTGCCAATGACCTGACCATGCAACAAGTACTAGTGGGTTACATGGTACTGGTAGCACTCATACTTGATATAATATTTGTCAGGTCAGTCTAAAATTGTTAAATGTGCAATAAGCTCATCTGAGATGAAAATGCCTTTATTTTTGATGTCAGCATCACTTCATTTCACTCTTTCAAACAAGTACCTTGCCAACATACATAT